CACCCGCCCCAAGGTATGTGACGAGTGCCCCAACGTGAAGCTGGAGCGCGAGCGCGAGGCCATTAACGTGGCCGTGGAGCCCGGCATGGCGGAGGGCCACGAGATCGTGTTTTTTGAGGAGGGGGAGCCCAAGGTCGACGGCGAGCCGGGGGACCTCAAGTTCAGGGTGCGCACGGTGCCCCACGACACCTTCAGCCGCAGCGGCAACGACCTCATGATGAACGCCACCATCAGCCTGCTGGACGCCCTCGTGGGCTTCAGCCGGGAGGTGAAGCATCTGGACGGCCACAAAGTGGTGCTGGCCAGCGCGGGCGTGACGCGGCCGGGCGACGTGCAGCGCGTGGCGGGGGAGGGCATGCCGCAGTACCAGCACCCGGAGCGGCGGGGGGACCTGTTTGTGACGTACGCGGTGGACTTCCCGCCGGCGCTCAGCGAAGAGCAGAAGGCGCTCGCGCGGCAGCTGCTCGGCGGCGGCGGCGGCGGCGGGGGTGCGCTGGCCGCGGCGTGAGTGCCCGGCGGGCTCGGTGGGCCTGTGACCTTGTAACGCAGCGCCGATTGTTCACGACGACGCCACTTCTGTAATGACTCTAGACTGGAGATTATGTTACCCCTCAGGCCCACGCAGTGTGACGGGCTGATTTCAACTACTTGGGTTTGCAGGAGGTGACGACACATCGCCCTGGTTACAGGGCCCCCTTGCGGGCTGCTCGTGCACATCACGCTGTGTGGATGTGCGTGCAGTCGCAAAGTGTCTCCTCCTGGCGGGTACAACAGCCTAATCTGGTCAGAACGCAGTAGCCCACCCAGGCAGTCCTGCAAGACACCCATCCCACTGAATTGCCGCCTGCAACTGCAATCCCACTCAACTCCATCAAGGCCCAGGCGGCGGTATGGCCCGTCGGATGAAGAACAGAGCCAGCAGGCGTTGCTTGTGTGGAACCGCTGACACAACAACCGCGGCTAGCCACGGCCTTGTGTGTGCCTTGTCTGCATATGCTGTTTACACCGGATGCTGCCTTATCAGCAACACCAGGTCAATCTGTGAAATGTGATAGCAACTAGCAACAATACATGCGCAGCAGAGCTGAAACATGGCTGTGTGGACTGCCAGCGGTGTAACAGTGAGCGGTTACGTATTCTGTCTGTCATTTTTTAACAGGCCCCTCGAGCACGCCGGCTGGTTTGCAGGCACAGCCGGGGTCTGTGCCTTTGCCATGCCAGGCTCATCCCCAGAAAACAGGGGCCACACCTGGGCTGCCCCTGCCTGACGCAGAGGTATCAGCCGCATGGTGCGCAGGCCCTTGGCTGCAAGCAGCATCTTGGCTGAACGAAAACTGCACGAGGCTGAAAGGGACAGATTACAGATGAACGGGAGGTGGCATTTGCCAGCGGCGGGCGGTGATTTGCCAACAAAAAAACCATAGACAGCAAAATCGTAACAATGGGGGCAAACAAACTAGCCTGGGCGTTGCGACAGTGGCAGCGCCGCAGCTGCAGCGGTGCGGGGTGATGGCGCCATCACTACCCCTAACTGCAAGTGAACATGCAGCGCCGCGACCCAAACTTACTCTTGGCTGTCTCGGGATGGATTGCTGTTGCATCAGCACAACAACAGCTGTGCGCACGCAACAACTAACAGTGCGCCATCGGGCGCGTGAAGTATACACACATACACTCATGCTCTCTCTCCCTGTTCTCTGGTGCCAAAATCGCTCTGCAAAGCCCATGCAGCGCTTTCGCTACATTTGCGGGCGGTGCGGGCGGTGGGGCCACTCCAGCGAAGCCGCCGCCGGCTCAAGCCCTTGCTACGAACGAATAGGGGACGGATTATGGATTTTTCGGTCGTGCGCACAGTGGTGAGGTTGAAAAGGGACCTCTGTTTGCTTGCACATGTGTGCGGCCTGCCTACTCTCACTGCTTGTGTGTGCTTTCTGTGCTTGCCAGGGTGGCGCTCGCATCTGTTGGCGCTCAGGCTCGTGACGGGCCAACCGCACTTCACTGCCCGCGTGCGGGCGCGGACGTGGCGTGCGTATAGGCGCGCACGCGAACGCCCGCAGCGGCTATTTTGCGACATGATTGATGCGAAAATGGATAGGCCGGGCTCGGAAAAGTACAAAAAGCGCCACACAGCGGGGTGCTGAGCTCCCAGCATAACGTCCTGGATGGACCACCCTGAGCGCCAACCGTGCATGTGCCGCTCGTGTGCTGCTGCCTGTAAGCGCAGGGGTGCAGGGCGGAAATGAGCCGGTCACTTGTTCCAAGCCCCTCTCAACGGCGTGCCAAACTCTCAAAGGCATGCCAAACTCTCAACTGCCCGCCCCTGCTGGCCAAGCCGGCTTCTGAGCCGCCTGGAGCTGCCCCGTCTCTCGGCTGGGGCGGCGACCAGAGCAGTCAAAGCACAGTGGCGCACAAAATGTTGTGCAAGGGTGTGCGTGCTCGCCATTGGCTATGCATCGAGCACAGCACGGAGGGCGCATAGCACACGACCGTGACGCGGGCATGGCGGAATAGTGCGCGTGCAACCTGCCTGCTTTCACTGGCACAATCCTCGCGGCAGTGCTAGAGTACAGACAAGCAGAGCGGTGCAGTGCACGGGCGTGTGAAACCGCTCCAGATATCCCCACCCCTTGATGTATAAGCCAGTGCCGTTTTTGACAGCGGCATCGCGCCAGCCATGTTTTGAACCCCATGATCCCACGAAATCACGGTGATGGCGGGGGACTGCCTCGAGAAACGTGGCAGGTTGGAAAACCCCCTGGGCAGGCGGGCGGCGCAGATGGGGTGCAGATGTGCCCCCGAGCGCACAAGCCAATGCGGATTGCACAAGACAATGACATTTATATCGTGTCAAGGCATGGGCACCTGTGCAAGCACATGAGAAAACTGCGCAGGTCGCCGCCAGCTGTTCTGCCCGCGCAAGCCCTCGTGCTTCCCAGTCAAGAAGTGGACTTGGCAGCACGCAAATCAAGAGACACGCAGCTTCCCCAGCGCGTTCGGCACTGCACTGAGAGCGTGTACCAGTGGTTTCGCCTGTGCGCACTTGGCCGCCACATCGGCTGGTCAGATGTCGGTAAATGTTTGTTGCCCGGCACAGCGGCGGCCGCGGTCATTCTGCAGCTGGACCCTCGGCGCAAAAGGTGGCGAGGTCGGAGTGGTCAGGGGGGCCAATGTGCGCCCGTGACTCCGGTGGCATAACCCTCTTAGTGCTGTGCCGCAGCAGCCAATGTATGGGCAGAAAGGGGGGGATGGGTAGTGGGATACATCGTCACTCTAGTGCAGGCGAGTGCCACCACTACCACAGGTGCAAGCCGCCAAACAGGGACGTCGCGGGCGGCGCCGCCGCTGCAGCCGCGGCCGCCGCAGCCAGCGGGCCTGCGGCGCCGCCGAGCGGCCAGTCGCGGTCGCCCACGGGAGGCAGCCTCGGAAGCCCCCAGAGTCCGGGGAGGGCGCTGACGCGGTCCGATGATCTCGTCGCGGCGAGTTGGGGCAGCGTCTGTAACCTTGAGAGGCTCGCCGTCGCGGCCAGAGCAGCGGCGTCCGCGGCGGCTGCAGCGGCGGCGTTGATGGCAGCGCAGGGGTCCTGGGGGATCGCGCAGGTGTGCGGGGCATTGCCCAGGTCGACAACCGCAGCCCCCTGCTGCACTGCTGCGGACGGGGCAGCGGCCAATGGGTGTGTGCCGGGCTCCTCAGCACACTGCGATGCGGCCGCCGACGGCAGCGGCCACAGCAGTCGCGGCGGCGGAGCCACGAGAAGAGGCCTGGACGAGGCGGCGTCGATGGGCGCGGCCACTAGGTGTGGCAGGTGTGGGCAGGAGCGACACGCCATGCTGCTGACTGTAGGGGCAATGGCGGCGGCGGCGTTTGATGCGGGGCACGCGGGCGCTGCGGAGGCAGCAGCAGGCGGCATCACCAGCTGCCGCAGTGCCGCAATGTCGCACAGGGCGGCCCCCACAGACAGCAGTCGCGGCAGCGCCGCCGACGGAGCCCCTGGACTGCGCTGGGCAGATTGCCGCGCCACTGCTGGCGAGTCAGGCGCCTCGCACGAATCGCCGGCTTCCACTGGCCCGTTGCCGTTGCCTTTGCACCTGTTGGTGGCCCGCGGTGGCGGCAGCAGGACCATCCCGGTCTGGGCCGCGGCCTCCTGGACTGCCCGCCAGATGGCGCCGCGCTCCTGGATGGCGCGCTGCATGTCCCCTTCCTGGCCCTGGTGCCGAACTCCGCACACGTCAGCATCCATGCTCGGCTGCTGCTGCTGCTGCTGCTGCTGCTGCTGCTGCTGCTGCTGCTGCTGTTGCTGCTGTTGCTGCTGCTGCTGCTTCTCCTGCTGCTGCCGCAGCAGCTGCTGGCTCTGCTCATTAGCAACGTGCGCGCCGCCGCCCTGCACTGTGCTGTCGCTTGCCTGCTGCAGCTGGGCGTGCGAGCCCCAGGTTGCAGCGCCACATGCACTGGCAGCGGTGAGGGCAACAGTGGCTGGCGCAGGGCAGGGCCGCCGCAGCTCGTCCTCGCGGTGGGCGAAGAAGCATATGCTGCGGGAGCAGTCGGCTCCATCGCGGCACATCTAATCGGGAGTGCAGGCAGGTGGGGGGGGGATGCAGAGGGTTTGCGAGTTTGTTGTCGATTGGTTCAGGAAGAAGAGGGCCGCGCTGGGAATCTGCTTTGCTGAGGGGTTCGCCTGGCCGAATCCCATGCAGCAGCAAGCGTTGGCGGCCTGCCGCCTGACAGGCCGCTGCCTGCATCACAGCCTGTGCAACGCAGTCTCCTGAGACAGCAACCGGCATCACTGGTGGTTATCACCGCCCGCCCTCCCCTCTCCGAACCCCACCTTTGTGCGGAATTTCGAGGGATGCAAGTGGATCTCAAACACGCTGTGGGCCCAGGGGCACTGCTCCCCGCGCGGGCAACGGCCGCGGCGGCGCACGTCTGGGCAGCAGGCCGCCTGGTACGGGTGCGTGGCCGGGGAGCGGCGGCGCGCCTTCTCCTCTGGGTGTGCCCAGGGGCATGTGGCCCTGCAGGCCGTGGGTGTGGTCAATTGTATGTCAGGCGGAGCAATGTGCAGATGATAGAGCGAGGGGGGGGGCGACCCCCTTTGGCCACACCGCCCTGCTGCAAGTTGCTGCTGGGCAGGCGCTGGCCGGACCCACGCCCCCTGTTGCCCATTGCTGCCTACATCAACACAAACCCTTCGTGCCGACCAGCACCAGCGCTCGTACTAGCAGCTGCATCAGCATCTGCGTCAGCACTGGCTCCGGCACCAGCACCAGCGCCAGCGATCAAGACTCTGAACTCATCCTAAGCCTCTCGTATGTCCCCATGCACCTCTGCCCAGCCCACCAGTCGTGCTCCAGGTCGGCATAGGGGCAGTCCACCACCTTCCAGGAGAACATGATGTACTCCGCACTGCTGCCCTCCAGCACGCTGCCCCCCTCGCCGCCCTCTGCCTCACCGTCTTGGTCACAGTCAGCAACCGACGACGCCGAGGGCGACGCGACCTCCGAGACGCTCGCCGCGCCGCTGCAGCTGCCGCGGCGGCTGCCGGCCGGGCTGCACGCCGGGGTGCTGCATGTGGGGGGGCTGCCGCTGAACCCGCTGCTGCTGGCAGAGCAGCTGGTGCCCGGCCTGCCGTCTGCGCTGCACGCGCCGCGACGGCCGGCCGAGCCGCACTCGGCGAGCCGCGCGGCGGCGGCTACAACTGGATCTTCCAAGCGTGGGCCATCGCTGCTGCTGCCGGGAGTGCCCCCGCAGCCGGAGGCGAAGCTTGACCCGCGGCTTGCCGCCTTGCTGGGGCTGCCGCGCGCAGAGGGGGCTGCGGGGGCGCCGCAGACCGGCTCAGAGGGCTGAAAGCCGTTGCAACTACAGGCATGTGATTGCCAGGAGTTTTCACATGCCGGGCACTCTTGAGCGCTGCTCGTACTGTTGCTGTTCACGGGGGCGTCGCCAGCGGCAGCGTAGTAGGCGGGGGTCCGCCCCTGCATTGGAGCGCCTGCGCCCTGCCGCAGCATGTAGATAGGATAAGATGTTGTGATACACGCTTCTTAGCTGGGTGCAAGCCCCGAATGTGCCTTCCTGAAACGGCGACCACGGGGGGCCACAAGCGGGTCGACCCTCCCACCTGCCTGATCGTCCCTGTTGTAATATAGCGGCGAAGCGCGGGTGACCTGCACCTCGATGAAACAATCGCGATATTTGCTGATGAACGATTCAGGGCTGGTATTGCCCTGGCTTTGTGAGCACAGGGGGCTTTCTCTCCGAGGAGGGGGTAGGTCGCAGTCAAAGGGCGCATGCACCCGGTGACGCTGGGCCCCAACACTCACGACGACAGAGCTGCCAGACGGGCCGCCTTGCATTTTCAAGCAAATTCTCTGCTGCTCTGTCATTGAGGTCCTCAAGGGGTCAAAACTTGAGACCCGCAACGCTGACATCTGTTTAGGCCAACCCACACCAGCTGCACTTCACTCTGCCATCGCCCTCAGCAGTCCTGCAGCTGTATTGGCGCGTTGCCCTGCCCTGCCGCCGCACCAGCCCAAAGTATTTGCATGCGCCCTGCAACTCCAAAACCGTGTGCGCCCCCCTCGCGGATGCCGCTCGCCTCGCGCCTGCAATGCAACCCGACACTCAGCCGCCGTGTGTCGAGAGTGCAGGGGCCTGCAGCCATGCCCCAGGCTTCCCAATTGGCAGAAGCTCCCGAAGCTCACAAGCCTTGCCTGCGCTGTCCAGGTGCCTTCATTTCCTTTACACAACCTCATGCTAGCCTGGGCGTGGTCGATTTATGCACGGCAGCATCAGGGCCTGCTGCCATCACACCCTCCCCCGTCCAGCCTGCAGGCCAGCAGCCTCGGCGCCCCTTCCCACCTTTTCACCCCATCCATATCTGTGTGACTTGTGGCGCCACCTAAAATTCCGTCGCACCGCAGCCGTCTAGGGCCGATGGACGCGTGCAGAAATGTCAGGTACATGACTCAACATCTTAGGGGCCGCACAGCATTGGGTGTGGCATGAAGCTGAACGTGCAGCAGTTCATGAGAATCTTTTCATGGCCACGTTGTTCAAAGCTAGGTGTTTGGTGGGTGCCAGTCATGGTGCACGCACGGGCTTTCGTGGGCCCTCTTGCCCAAGCAGTTCCGCCAGGCCCAGAACGAAATCCTGCATTGCGGTTTGTCGCCCCGTGTGCTGCACCAGCAACTGCCAGCCGCAGCACGCGTGGTGTAGCACCGGTCAAAGTCTGTCTGAACACAGCGATTCTTTCAGCGTGCGTGAGGGCCTGCCGCCCGGAAGCGCGACATTTCGGCACTGTCAGCTGCGGGTGTCACCAAGGTCCGACTGGACCGCTTGTTCCTCAGCCAGATGGTGAAGCGGTCGCAGCAATGGCAGCGGTATATACCGTGTGCGATCAAATCACAACAGAAAGCCATAGCAGGACTCTTCAGCGTCTTGATCGATCGCGCTGTGTACAAAGCTCGTTGCCAGGCGCCTGCCTGCGTCTTTCGGTTGTCTGTCGAACAGACTGCAACTCAATCAAGTCACGAAGCAAGCACGTATCACCTGGAACCGGGGGCAGTGCAGCTCCGCAGGCCGGAGCCGAGCAGCACCTGCACAACGCAGCAGCGGCGGCAGGCAGCTGCGGCGGCCCAGCGACCCCACGCGCCTCGCTGCCCCGGCGCAGCATGCACAGCAAGCCCGGCGGCCGAGGCGGCGGCGGCGGCGGCCGCGGCCGCGGCCGCGGGCGCGGTCAGTACAGGGGTGCCGTCAGCACGTATGACAAGCGCCAAGTCATCCAGAAGGCGCGCAACCTGAAAGCCAAGAAGGTGAATAAGTACCGCCGCACCCTCAAGCGCCTGGAGGCGGACGGGCGGCTGGCGGCGCCGCCAGCGCTGCGGGACGGCCTGGATGACTTGGACGCGGCGGACCCCTTGGCAGACCTCAGCCACGGCGGCGGCGGCAGCGACGGCAGCGGCGGCAGCAGTGGGGGCGAGGAGGAGGGCGAGGGGGGAGCGCCTCGGCAGCAGCGGCAGAAGCAGCGATGGCTGCCGCCGCCACCCACAGAGGTGGGTTGCGCCCGCGCGCGTTGTTGGTGTGGGTGTGGAGGGTGTGCGGGCGGCAGTGGCCGTGGCCCTGCGAGCTGCATGTGCCGACTGCTCGATTGGGGTCGGGGACGCGGCGCATCGACCCCTCCCCCACCCCAAACATCACCACCACTGCCACCACTTCACATCTCATACCCTCATCAACTTCGCCTGGGCGCCCGGTTAACCCTCATCTCCTTCAGCTCGAGCTTGCCCTCTCAGTGTCTTGCAAACTCGCGCATGCACGTTCGCACACTCATACGCACACTCACACAAACCCACACACGCTCACACACCCCGTCTGCCTGCTCCTCATCAAATGCGTTACAGCCGGCAACTGACGCTGGCGCCCGCGGCCAGCAGGGCAAATCGCAGCGGGGTCCTCGGCTAGGGGGCAGCGGTGATGACGACGGGGCTGAGGCGGAGGGGCAGCAGCATGAGGGGCACGGCAGGGGGCGGGGCAGGCGGCGGGGGGGCGCAACGGGGCCACCATCGCAGCTGGAGCGGCTGGCGGCGAAACGGCGCGCCCAGTTGGAGGAGGAGCAGAAGGCAAAGGAGGAGGTGAGCCGCTGCGCTGCTGCTGCTCATTCGGCGTGGCGGCAGGGTGCTCGCGATTTTGCGCGTTTTCAGCGGCTGCGGCAGAGCCGCCATGCCGAATCGGCCGGACCCTGTGCCTGCGGCGATCGCGCTCACTACCGGCTTTCGCTTCGCCTGCAACTCTCTGCCCGCTGTGCCTCGGCAAACTGCAGCGGCTTGTTGCTGCGCAGCGGCGGAGGGAGGAGCTGGAGGCAAAGGAGGTGAGGGGCCTGGGCTGGGGTTGACTTGATTTGGGTGGGGGGGGATTGGTTTGGTCAAGGCCAGCTGCAGGGGTTGTTGGCAGGTCAGGGACGAGGGACGCTGCTATGGGCGTGGATGTGCCATGAGAGTTTTGTGTCATCACCGGTCAGAGCACGCCATCGGCTTGGAGTGCGCGTCTCTCAAGTGGTGGGGCGTGACGACCCGCGTGCCGGCGAGGGGGCAAGCGACGGATGCCAGGGCAGCAAGGCAGCGGGACAAGCGGGCCCGAGGAGCGGCAGCCCAAACCATGCCAAATCGTCCCGTCGCGACACCGCAACAGCCTTGGGCCACCGACCCCCTTGTGCTCACCAACCCCGTGCCCACAAACGGCACGCCGTGACTCGCACGCATCGCTCTTGAACGTGCCATCCTACACCACCAGCGCCACCTCCCAGACGCTCACGTGTTGCCCTCCCAACAACCCTTTGCCCCATGCGCAGCGCCAGCGCAAGGCGTCCAAGGCCAAGTTCTTCGCCAAGACGCGCCACGGGCAGCCCCAGATGCGGCACCGCATAGAGGGTATCTTGGAGAAGCTGCAGGCGGAGGCCAAGCCGCCGGGACGCAGATAACGTGACCGCACCCCGCAGCGGCGACATCCCAGGGCGGCGGCGCAGCACAATTGGGTCGCGCGCGCTGCGACGGCGGGTGGCGCTCTGCGGTTTCGGGCTGGAACGGAGGCTGGCTTGTGGTTGTGGCGTGGTCCCACCTCGACGCCTTTTGTTTAAGGCTCGCATCCAGCGGCAGGCGCCAGGAGGCGAGAGCCGCCAGCGTCTGCCGAACGCTCGACGTGCTGATGACTCATAGTTGTGCCCTCAGAGGGCTCTGTCCCAGGCACCGAGTTGAACACGACAGCCTACCACCGAAGCGCAACTCACGTCGCTTGCTCTGTGCAGCGGGTCGCGCATTCAACTGGCTGTGCGGGGTTGCGCTTGCTGCTGCCTCCCTTGCGTGGTATTTCCTTCGGCAGCGCGTGAATCAAGGGCTCGTCCCAAAACGTGACCATCCCTGCCAGCGGTCCCTGCGCCATGCCTGATCGTGTGCACGTTCGCAAAGTACCTCCCCTCCCTACTGGTAACAGGAGTACCTCCCCTGCAACCCTGCCAGTCGGACACCCCCCGCAGCTTGAGCAGCCCTTGCAGCCCTAGGGGTGCAGGTCGAGGGGTGATGTCCACTCCTGCATCGGCGCCTGCCAGCCCCCTGCCGCCACCCAAGGCCAACCTGCAGCGTGACTGCACTTCTTACGAAGCTGCTGAGCTGCACCGCCATGCCCTGCGTTAGTGTTGCTGCGACAGCCGGTTGTGCATCGTGACTGGCCCCAGCAGCGCGCTCACTACAATGTTCTCCACAATAGCACTGGTCAACACGCCGTTCTGCCGTGTGGCCCCGAAGGTGCAGCGCCTTGAAATGGGCTTCTCCAGCTGGCGCAGGCTGGCCGACCCCGCGGAGGGGCGTCATGGCACTGCTCAAGGCGCTGGTGCCGCAAAGGCACGTCTACTTCCGCATCCAGGGCCTTCAAAAGGGCGGGCGGCCTGGCGGGGTTCAGCCGCCCGGAGCTCCGCGCACAGGTGTCAAGACTCGGGTCGACAGCCCCCCCCCTCCCCGGGGAAGGCCGCCGACTGCGCCCTCGGCCTTGATCCTCTGCAAGGTGTGCCGCTTCAGCACCCCGCAGTGCCTTGCCTCCCTGTGAGCAACTCTTGCCAGAATGTGGGTGCCCTGACGTGCTCCGAGCACTCGCTGCAGCGGGCTGGGCGAGCCGAGCAGCTGCAGTGGCTGCAGCTTGGGGCGTGCAGCGCGGGAGCCGAGTGGGTGCAGCGCGTGATGATGCGGGGCACAATCTGAGTCCAGCAGAGCGATTCATTTGTTTGACAATGTCAAGCTGCTCAGGCACAGTGTTGCGCCGGCGCCGTCTGGCGCGTCGTGCAGCGAAAGCCGGGTCTGCCAGGATCTGGGATGGTTTGCGCGGTGCACGGCGGGGTGCTGAGCACCGCCCTGATGAGTCGCGGGCGTGGCGTCACCGGGGCCACGGCCTCTGTCCTCATGGATAGAAAGATAGATAGATAGATAGAAAGATAGATAGATAGATAGATAGATAGATAGATAGATAGACAAGTTACTCATGCCTCATCTCAACACTGCAAGCGTACCTGTCAGGGAATTCAAAGTTATGTGGCAGCTCTGTGCCCCTGAGTCGCCCAGTGCGGGTGGATCCACCCGCATCTCAACCAGACTGTTAGAATTGCCCTGGCTGCCAGCCACACCAAACGGAACCAGGACCCAGACCTGGCCGTGGCATCCATCCAGCAGAACACTTGGACCCTGTCGCATGTCTCTGACCTGAATCAATTTCTCTGACCTGATATCACAAGGCGGCCATTCGACAAAACAATAAAGCAAAAAAACAATGTGGTTCAAGTTGTTGCTGCGTCCTCATTCGCTCTCCACTACCACCCGCGTCTGCTGCATCTGTAGCACCGGTGGCGCCGTCAAGTCCCAGCCCGCCGACTCCATCGCAGCCAAAAACCCCGGGTAGTGCCGCCGGGCCGCCGCAAGGCTCTCTTTCAACAGGCCAAAATCAGCCGCGCCGCTGCTCCCGCCGCCGTTGCCAGCTGCATTGCTGCTGCTCGTCGCCGCGTCCAGCCACGCCGCCTGCCAGACCGCCTGCAGCAGCGCCGGCGGCGCCGCGTCCCTCTTGACCACCACCCACGCCGCGCCGTCGCGCCACGTCAGCAGGTACTGCTCTGCCTCGTACAGCCCCACCCACTCCGCCAGCTCTGAGGCCCCCGGGCCCTGCCCCACAGCCGCGGCGCCCGAGCCCTGCTTCTTGTCATCGCCGCTCCCCCAGGCCTCCGCTATGGTGACCCCCAGCCGCATTCGTGGCCGCACTGACCCGGCCGGTGTCAGCATCGGCTCCGCCGCGTTCACCTCCTCGACACCAGGCAGCACCGGGGTCGCCACCGCCGCCGCCGCATCCACGCTTGCTGACAGGCCCCCATGCCCGTCCCCACCGCTGCCGCCGCGGACGGCGGCGACGTGGGCCGCGGCGAGCGCGCAGGCGCGCTTCTGGTTGAGCGTTGCGAAGCGCAGCTGGCTGAGGGCCGCGAAGCGAAACAACACGTGCACACCCTGCACCAGCGCCCACAGGCCCACCACCGGCTGCCAGGACCCTGAGACGCGTTTTGTGGGGGAGGCTTGGTGGGTTGAGAGTGAAGGCAGGAGGAGAGTGAGAAGCCTGAGCCCCCACAAGAAGCAATTCAAGGCCACAGGTCACATGCCAAAAGACTGACATGCCGCTTGCCGCATCAACTGCTGCCGGCACAATTGTGCCAGCGTGGTCTCTGTCATCATCCGCAAGCGTTGACCCCTGCCCAGCAAAGCGGCCTCACCTGTGCCCTCTAGCGACTGCAGCAGTGCCACGCTGGCGGCGTAGCCCGCGAGCTGGGCGGACACCTCCCACACCTGAACGAGCACATGGCGGCGGGGTCATGGTGTGCCAGAGATTCATGGCACGGGTTGCAGCGCGCATGCTGTCCGCCAAAGTGCATGAGCGAACACCGCTTGAGCGATGCATGCAGATGCCAAGAGGCGGCACCGGCCGCGTCCATATCCTGCAATGCATGCGTCGACAGCAGACAAGCGCAAGGCGCCTGAAACTGCACATCTCTTGCCGTCCATGCCTTGTGTTAAGCAGTGTCCTAATGAACAGCCACACACAACCCCTGCAAACAGCGTCAAGCACACGACGCCGGCTGGTCCCCGGTCGACGGTCGCCTCCGCCCTGGACCCATCCCACGCACCTCCTCCTTGGCCGCCACCGCCCCAACGTTGCCCGTGGCCGCAAAGTGCGTCTGCACCACCCTGAACACCGGCTTGCCCATGCCCTTGGCCACCGCCTTGGTAAAGTTCCCGGTGGACGCCAGCAGCAGGAAGTTCTGGGGGTACAGCGTGGTGGAGATCTCGAGGGCCAGGCCTTCGGGTGTGAGGGTGTGTGTGTGTGGGGGGGGGGGGGGAGGGGGAGAAGGGGTCCGCAGTGTTGCCTGGCAAGACGTGGCCGATGGTGGTGGGTTGTGGCCTGCGACAGACGCCGCAAGCTCTGAAATTGGTCCCCAGCAAAGGGCCCAACACCTCGAGCACAGTTCTGTGACGCCACTGGCTCGGTGCTCTGGGCACAAACCCCCGTTCGTGAGGCGCGCGGGGGCCCGAGCCAGGCGCACGGCCCGATATGCTGTCTTGCTTGCAGCCCACAGGACCGGCCCACAGGACAACTGCGTTGTCCAGGAGCGCATCCCAACCTGACAGTCTTGCGGCACACAGCAACCCGACACAAACAATCCCTGGAGAAACCCACCAATTGTTGTGATGGCCTCTGCCACCATCCTCCACCGCCGCGGGTCGTCGTCAAACTCGCGCCCCAGGCGGCCCCCCACAACAAAGCGCCCCGCGGCGCCGATACCGTCCTGCGGGGGGGGGGGGAGAGGGGTGTCAATGAGAGCAGGTGTGCAGGGAATTCAGCAACATCGAACAGCTGGCGGCGGCGGAAGGCAGGGCAAGGGCACGTGTCGAAAGAAAAGGCGTGTGATTTGACTGGCCGCTGCGCAGTTGCAAACAGTGGCGGTGATGTTGGTAAGGCACGTTCCCATGTTCGCCTCCATAGGGGGGGGGGGTGCGTACCTTGACGATCCACTTGATCGCTGC